TTGAACATTAGGTACTTTCCTCCCAAGGCGGTGAGATCTATCGAGGTCTGCCTCACTAATTTCTAAACCGAGTTTTTCTTTCATAATGCTCACAACAATAGCGTCCGTATTTTCAGTTTGGCTTCGAGTAGCCGCACCCTCTTGCTCTTTTACACCGTGAAAAAGGAGACAATTTCGCCGTCCATATTGCTCAAGGTTGTCAATTTCCAGGTGAAGTGTCTCATTAGGTAGCTTCAGTTGATTGTAGGATTCTTCTAGACCTTTTACTTAAGGGACAGATCATTATTGTCGAAGGACAAGCTTTCATAAATTTCTTGCTTCATTCGTTTCGCCTTCTCCATAAACTTATTCATGACGGCCTTCGAGAAATCATCATTACTTGATATGTTACTAGCAGTCGTGTTGATAATCTCTGTGTCATTTCTTATCGTTTCAACAATAAGCGACGAGACAGCTTTTGCAATTGCTTTAACAACACTGGAATCATCTTCGATCTGTTTCTTTAACTTAGCCGCAGCGGCCATCTTTCCGAACTGAAGTTCTACGTTGCTTCGATTGCTTCGTATCGTTAATTTATGAAAGAAACTTCACGGTTAAAAATGCTTGACGTTGGAAAAACAACCAAAATAGTTTCTAGCGAATAGAAGGCTTACAGCAGGCGTAGAATACAATATTATGTGGAGCTGACCATACTACGTCCTCACTGCGTCCTCACTGTATCACGTTATGGCCTGACCTGCTGCCCTATGATGTATACTTATAAGTTAAACCATGCATATAATATATGCTGATAGCTGCAGTGATAGACTTGTCGACTGGAACTTCTCCAGGTTCCCCGCTAAATATGTCCCCTCCAGTTACACATCCTTAAAAGAGGCCCTGAACCAAATGTTATACCTCATAGCAATATGTATTATTAAAGCAATGCATGAAGCTAGAAAACTCGTTAACTATTATTTAAAAATTCATTAATAATTCACGAGGAAAATACAAAAGAAGTGAATGTTTAATGAATGTTTGTAAATCGGATAAAGATTCGTCCTGATTTACATAAACTTCTGCTTCGATTTTCTCGGCTTAGACAATGTTTATTTTTAAAATTACTTCGCCAATGAACTCATAAGATGGGTAATTTTTTAAGCATGATAAAACATTCGCACCCGATCTGTATCTGATATACAAACTCTCGCCTTCGGCTCGAGTTTTTATATCAGATACAGATCGGCTGCTCATGTTTTATCTAGTACTTAAAGAATCTAAATAGTATAAGCTATTGAAAAAATGCTGCGAAACAGAGAGTGGCAAAAAATATCGTACATGGTGATGGGATAGGAAAAAAATATCTTGCACATAACGATCCCAGAAAATAATTCCCTTCCAGCGGCAAAACAACCCCCCCCTCCCCCACCCCATCAAAAGTTAAATGGTCGGCCCCTAATAAAATGTTTTTATCACTAATAATATACATAAAAATATTACTCGACTGTGATTGGTTGATTTCAGTGCAGCTAGTCCCAAACTGCAGTGTAATTTTCTGTAATCACAGTGCAAAAATCTGTAACAAACTGATCTGATTGGCGCAAAAACAACGTGATGATAAAATAAACCAATCAGTCTAAAGCAGACTAGTTTAACGAAGTAACGGTTACAAATTGCTGCAAAACAAAACAAACACGACGCGACGGCGCCGCCACAGAATAAGGCACACAGAAGGTCGACTCGAGCAACCGCTGCCACGACTCCTAGCCAGTGCGCGTCTGAGAGGCATTCCGAGATTTTCAGAGATTTATTCAGGAACTGCACTATTTACAAAACAAAGAAAATGTATACAAAATTTTACAAATAATTAATATGTTTTGAATGAATAATTTCAAGTTAATTTGATAAAGTGAAGGTGCGTAGTGATCAAAGGAGCATAAACTTTCGAGTTGATCAGTTAATTTGTTAAAGTTAATTTGATAAAGTGAAGGTGCGTAGTGATCAAAGGAGCATACACTTTCGAGTTGATAAACTTTCGAGTTGATCCCCTGGACGTCCGCCATTTTGAATATAATCACGGGGGTGAATGCCTCTCAAACGCGCACTGGCTAGGACCGTGGCGTCAGCATTTTTACGGTTACGCCAAAACCATTGGAAAATCATGGGAAAAACCAAGAAGTCTGGGCTTCTGTGTACCTTATTCTGTGGCGCCGCACTACATAAAGTTGACTTCGGTTCGAAAATATGGCTTTCGTCTTTCTTTAAATGGAAAAGCCCTCACCTTAAACACGACAAACAAAACTTATAATAGTTAAGTGGAATTTTCAAGCTGTTAGCGTTGTATAATGTGACATAACAAAACCAGGAAAACTTTGCAAGTGGAATGTTCGCTATAAACGTAAGTTAAAATTACAACTGTCTCGAACATTTTTATGTAAATTATTAATAAGTATAATAGCATGGTTTCTCGTGAAATTCGGATAAACATGCACTCGTGAGTTTTTCAAAGACCTCAAAGAACACTCGTCCTTTGGACTCGTGCTATTTTGATGCTATTTGAAAAATTCGCTCGCGCATGTTTTATCCAAATTGCACTCGAAACCATGCTATTACCTATATAGTCTAGGACCTGTATATGAGTTTGTATGCATTTCATTTAGGACAGATAATCTCAACTGTTTTAGGGTAAGTTGACCATGACGGTCAACATGGTAATGCTGTTCGAACCCCAATCCGGGGCGAAACGTCCGAAACTGACCACACCCAAAAACGACGCTTTCGCCATACTGCTATCTACCAAACCATAAAAGCTTTGGCTATTCTGAGGTGCTTATATGGTTCAGAGATGGTACTTTTGGGGGTGGTCATTGGTAAGTGTGAAATGCCTAGCACTAATATTTCACAAGAAAATGGCCATACAATAATCATAGTTAAACGTCAATTTGTGGCTTGCAAATTCAGATAACAGCAGTGGACTTACATTACCTTTTTCTCTAAATCTTTTTGATAGAAACATAAATGGTACTTATTTAAATATATTATCACTGGTTTGGTGTAAAATAGTTAATATTTTCTGACCGAAATAATAATTTGAAATGTGCCTACCTCCTGCAAATAGACGTATTTGGCCAAGTTCTCCACTTTACTCCGCTGTTTATCGGCGATCTTGTCGACATCCTACAAAAAATGTAAATCATCTCAGACATAATGGTATCAAGAATATTTTAAACAAGTTTCAACTTGGTTTCAAGTAGATCATACCTGTTTAACCATCGACAAGGTAAATCCACAACTTTGTCCAAATTCAGCGCCATTTTGTCATCCCATGTCGCTTGTTAACAATTCAGCCTTGTTACTCTTCCATCCAAGCCATTTCCATTCCACTAATAATACATTTAACCCTTTATAACAGGAGGAAACTAAAAATCTAAACAAAATACAAGAAATACGCCATTTTATCAACCCTGTAAAATGTTGTTTACGAGTCCTTCAAAACATTTCGTACAAATCTCGCGTGGTTTAGCAACAGGGACGTGACAGGGGGGGTAGAGACTTGAAAAATGAAAGGAAAGCCCACACAGTATGGTAAAACCAACAATCAACATTTAATTTGTATGACTTTTTCATATTAATAAATAATAATATGTATATATTTGTCGCTACAAGAACTAAAACAAACATTTGTATGATTGTATTTAGCTTTTAGTCTATTTCACGCAGCCTTCTTCTATCTTCGTGAAATAATTCACCCCCTCCTGTCACGTCCCTGTTACTTCGTCACGCGATATTTCTACGGAATGTTTTGAAAGACTCGTGAGCAAAATTTTACATGGTGATAAAATGGCGTATTTCTTATATTTTGTTTAGATTTTTTAGTTTCCTCCTGTTATAAAGGGTTAAATTTATTATTAGTGGAATGGAAATGGCTTGGATGGAAGAGTAATAAGGCTGAATTGTTAACAAGCGACATGGGATGACGAAATGGCGCCGAATTTGGACAAAGTTGTGGATTTACCTTGTCGATGGTTAAACAGGTATCATCTACTTAAAACCAAGTTGAAACTTGTTTAAAGTGTTCTTGATACCATTATGTCTGAAATGATTTACATTTTTTGTAGGATGTCGACGAGATCGCCGATAAACAGTGGAGTAAAGTGGAGAACTTGGACAAATACGTCCATTTGCAGGAGGTAGGCACATTTCGAATTATTATTTCGGTCAGAAAATATTAACTATTTTACACCAAACCAGTGATAATATATTTAAATAAGTACCATTTATGTTTCTATCAAAAAGATTTAGGGAAAAAGGTAATGTAAGTCCACTGCTGTTTATCTGAATTTGCAAGCCACAAATTGACGTTTAACTATGATTATTGCATGGCCATTTTCTTGTGAAATACTAGTGCTAGGCATTTCACACTTACCAATGACCACCCCCAAAAGTACCATCTCTGAACCATATAAGCACCTCAGAATAGCCAAAGCTTTTATGGTTTGGTAGATAGCAGTATGACGAAAGCGTCGTGTTTGGGTGTGGTCAGTTTCGCACGTTTCGCCCCGGATTGGGGTTCGGGCAGCGTTACCATGTTGATCGTCATGGTCAACTTGCCTTAAAACAGTTGAGATTATCTGTCCTAAATGAAATGCATACAAACTCATATACAGGTCCTAGACTAATACTAATGTAATAATTATATTTGAGATCACAGGGGGCTGTTTTGGGAACTTGGAAAATCGACTAGGCCTTTACGAACGAATGTTATGCTTTCCGCAAACGAACATTAAAAATGACTTTCTATGGTGTATGCGGTATCAAAAAATTGTTTGCTGCCCTTCGATTCCATGTTGCGGTCTACTTTCCTTTTTAGTCATTCGTGGCTTGGTTGTAAGGCAATATGCTGAATACTTTTAGCACTTGTGAAATAATGCTTGCAGTGGGCAGTGTACAGGGCAAGCAAGCTAGTTTATCAGGATTTAATATAAAGATTTACCTCATTAATAATTATCATGACATTAAATATGCATGAATGTTTATTTGTCTGGTACGCATGCGCTTTCGTAAACAGTCGTAATCAGATAGCTCACTTGCCCCGAACACTGATTGCTATTACTTGGTTAGTACAATAGTGTATTACGGTGTTTACGTAAGCAGTATTGCCATAAATGCAAGAAAGGATTCGACAAGATTACTGACCATCCGTGTGGCAATCTGTGCAAGCTGTGTAATACCCAGAACTGTTCCCTTGTTGAATGGAAATTTTGCAAGGACTGTAACCGGTTCTTTTTAAAGAACGCTCTTAAAAGAGCGAATTAAGCTTGCTTTAACCGCCATAAAGATGATACTGGTCCTTCCAAATCTCTGTGTTGTGCTTTGTTGAAATGCAAGAAATGTCAACTTTTTGTTACTCATGCCAGTCTTCGTGATCATCATTATGGTAAAGTCAGATGTTCCAGATGTGAAAAGTACGTCAAACCAGGAAACCATCAATGTTATCTTCAACCTGTAAAGGCGAAGAGACGGACAGCTGAAGAAGGAAACGAATTCCTAGATGATGACGTGGCCGTGGATAATGACGCGGAAGACACCCAAAACCTGATTCCTTTGACTTTGAACACCCAAAACCTGGTCTTCCGTAAAACGTTCCTCCAGGAAAATACTATCGCCGTCATTCCTCTTTGCGGATGTTGCGGATGCAAGCCTGAAAACAAACAATCTGTCATCGCCCTGAAAATGTTGGCTTGGATCGCTCAATGCGATAACATTGTTATTCGCCACGCCCGCAATCAAGGCGAACAACGTATTGGCAAGTACCTCGTCGATGGGTTCAATGCCGAACTCAACACTGTTTGGGAAGTTCAAGGGTGCCTGTGGCATGGCTGCGAGAGATGTTACACCAGAGACACTGTGAACTCTGTGAATCATATGACCATGCACGATCTTCGACAACGAACACTGGAAAAAGTACGATTCCTAGATGATGCTGGCTATAATGTTGTCCAGATCTGGACGTGCGACATCGAACGTCAACTTGCCATAGAACCCGAGATGAAGGATTTCTTCGACAGTTTCGAGATCTCTGAACCTCTGGAACCTTGTCATGCATTCTTTGGTGGAAGGACCAACGCAACACGGTCTTCTACGAGACACAACCTGGGGAAAAAGGTGCGTTATGTAGACATAACGCACTTTCCAGCCTCTACCCATGGTATGTATCTTGTTAAAAACGTTTAACTTTAAACTCAAACGTGCTTGTTGTTAACTTTCTTAAGCAATTGTTAGGTGTAACAAATACGGGGAGTATCCATTTAACCACCCACAGAGACGGAGACACAATGGGAGAACTTGACGAAACGGAACAAAATATGGAGTCGAAATATTTGTTGAAAGCATCGGCTTTCCCTTCTGCAGTTGTGACTTGTTGGTCGTTGTGAGTCATAGTGTCAGGAAGAGCCGGTCGTCTTAGCTTTAAAGAATCTCCAGAAATCCTTGGGTTTATCTTTAACTGAGCTTGCTAGGGTGGAAATGTATTCACGCTTCTCAGATCTTATCAAGCTTTTGATATTGCGCCGTAGCTCTCGAAACCGTTCCCAAATATGAGGAGAGTTGGTCGACTTGGCTCTTTTCCTCAGCGTTTTCTTCGTACTCAAGGCGTGAATAATTTCTTGTGTGAAGGAGGCTTATATGATCTTTTTACATTAGACTTCGGGATGAAGGAATCAACAGCAGCGAGGAATAGATCTTTCCATTTAGCCCAAGCGGTGTTGATATCGCTTTCTTTTTCCACAGTGTCTAACAATGGAAGACACGTTAATGTAGCACGGAGGGAATTAGATTCACCTTTCTTGTATAGTTATAAACCATGCGTTTAACTGACTGTTTTACTCTCCTGTTTAAGTTAATATCCGCGGAGATAGCTCTGTGATCAGACTTCAAACAAACATAATCGTCATCAGTAACAGTGATATTGTCAATGAGATATTCGTTCGTTGTAAAAAGTAAATCAAGGAAATTTTGACCACGAGTTGGCGAATTTACAAGTTGAAAGAGACCCGCTTCCTGCAACACATCAAAGAAACCACTGTCGGTTGTTGAATCAGAGAAGCCAGAGCCGTTTAACCAATGAGCAGAAGGACAATTAAAGTCACCAATAATAATTATATCTTTTAGCTGAGAATCAGCTACGCTTTTGACAAAACGGATAAATTCTTGAAGGAATTCAGCGTCAGCATTTGGAGGACGATAGCATACACATACCAAAACCCTTTTCGGTGAACAGTTTATAACGACGCTAACAAGTTCCAAGGATTTGGAAGTAAAATTAAATGTGACGGTTTTGATTGAATTCTTAACTGCAAGTAGAACCCCCACCACCACGCTTGTTTTCTCTGTCACGTCTCAATATTCGATATGCGGTTGGTAACAGTTCATAGTTGGAAATGGAACTATCAAGCCATGTCTCCGTCAACGCAATAACGTCAAACTGGTTAGCAATATTATGGAAACAAGATCATTTACTTTCCTTTGAGTTACACGTGTTATCCCAGTAGGTAGACTTATACTTCTGACGTTTTGATAAAATACGCTAAAAGACCGACTACTGTTGGGCAGGTTTGTGGAGCCAGGATTCGTTGCAATATCACCACTTAGTAGAATACAGAGTAGTACTGTATGTGCGATTTCTTACTGTTTATATTGAAATCCATGAGGTGAAAACGTTTTGTGGGCATGCTAAATTTCTCTGAATCACATCACGGGTAGAAATCCATATACAGCATTGCTTTTCTGGCAAGATCGTTAGTTCTGAATTGATAAAGACATTTCCGGGAATTTTTCTTTTATTATCTTGAACAATCAAACTGGATTTTGATTTCAACGATAGCCATAAAATTGCAGAAAAGAACAAAAACTGACCGAGCAGCGACAATTTGAGTCCTGTTTTACTACGGGATAAGTGACATTATTATATACACAAGGTCTGGATATGAGGTATTCTGCAATCTGATTGGTTCTCTACTAGCAGGATATTAGCTCATATCCTGCTAGTAGAGAAAAACAAAATGGCGGCCAAACTGAGTTTACGATGTTTTGCAAACGAGAAAACGGCAAGTTGTCGCTTTTTATAACCTTAACAGGCCAACTACCGTTCAATCTCTCTGACGTGTCTGTGTTGCAAATTCATGGAACATATCATTCTTAGCCACGTTTCAATGCATTTAGCATATCATGATATTCTAATTAATGAACAACACGGATTTCGCAAACTATTATCGTGTGAGACTCAACTAATTACGGCAATCAACGATTGGGCAAAAAGTATCAACCAGAAGAAACAAACCGATGTGATTCTCGTAGACTTCAGTAAAGCCTTTGATTCTGTTCGTCATCTTCGTTTGATGTCCAAATTAGACCATTATGCTATTAGAGGACTTTCCGCCAATTGGATCAAGGCTTCTCTTTCCAACCGCTCTCAAGTTGTCTCGGTTAATGGCTCCCACTCTCACCCTCAACCTGTCATATCTGGAGTACCTCAAGGAACAATTCTCGCACCTGTCTTATTTCTTCTCTATATAAACGATATTTCTGAGAATATTAAATCCCAAATTCGCTTGTTTGCTGACGATGGAATCATTTATAGAGAAATTAATAACGATCAGGACCACGTCACGTTACAAGAGGATTTAGACAATCTAAATAATTGGGCTAACAAGTGGCAACTAAATTTCAATTTCTCAAAATGCTACCACCTAGGAATTACAAACAAACGTGTCCCTGAAACATACAGTTATATGATGAATAATCAAACAATTAGCAGAGTATCTTCTACCAAATACCTGGGCATTACTATAAACCACAACTTGAACTGGAACAAACATTGTGACGTCATATGTAGTAAGGCAAATAGCACTCTTGGCTTACTTAGAAAAATCCTTGGTGAATGTAGCGCTGCTGTTAAATCTAGAGCGTATACTAGTCTCGTTCGTCCACAACTTGAGTATGCTTCCACAGTCTGGAACCGTTACACCAAGAGGAACATCAACAAGATCGAGATGGTTCAACGCAGAGCTGCTAGATTTGTCTTCAATGACTATTCCAGAGCTAGCCACGTCTCTCCAATGATCGACCACCTGGGGTGGGACAATCTCCAACAACGGCGACTGCTACACCAAGCCACCATGTTCTACAAGATCCTTCAAGGCCTTCTTGGCATCAGTCTTCCTGATGACGTGTGTCCTTTGACTAGAGCATCCAGGCTACCTAACATCTGTCCTTACCGCCAAATTCAGTCGTGTGTCAATGTATATAAGTTTTCATTTTATCCAAGAACAATCGTTACCTGGAATCACATCCCATTTAACAATCCTTGCCTATCAACCCCAAGTTTCAAAACACTTGCCATGCCTTCAATTAAGTCACTTAATGTAGCTAATTAGTACTGTTTTGAATCGTTTGTATTGTACTATATGTTCGTTTTGTAGTCTTAGTGTTGTTGTTGTCGTTTTTGCCGTTGTTGTTAATAGCATATAGCAACATCATTCTAATCACCGCCTAATATATGTGTCATACAGTGATTATGAAGACTTTCTTGTAAATAAATATAAATATTATCTAGTTTTTCAGTATATATAACTCCTCCTAGTGTAGTATAATACTGTTTTAGGAGTATTTCATTAAAGCATTAAAGCCCAAGATGCACGTGAAGCGTGACATGGAAATTCACTGATGTGTTGCAAAATTCCACGGGAAATAAAACTGGTTGAGCGAGTTTCCCTGCCAGGTTCCCTCTATAACCCCATTCCGCGTGCTACCCCGAATCCCTAAATATCCCAACAAAATTCCCACAGAAGCAATAAATTGATTATTCGCTGAAGCAACTAACTCCTTTAAACTAAAACTAATGTTTTCTATTTGTACCACTTGTTTATAAAGTCACGCACAAGCATATCATTCCATTCTTTGCTATCTTTAAAACGATTTGCAGTGGTTGACATTGCAATACGTTTACATCGATGTAAAGCAAAGAATAATGTATATTGTCCACACACGTCCGATGAAGGGGCTTGCAAGATTCTTCTGTTAAACGTAAATGTGCTGCAATGCTTGCTCAAAAATTGAGTAAAGTTCTGACTGTAAAATCCAGGCGCCTGACCATAGGAATCCCAAAACTACCCTTTGCCATCTTCTGTAAGGTACATTGCAACCCAATGCGATCCAGGTTTATCGGAAGGATCTGTGTTAAGTATATACCCTCTAGGTTTGATACCGATCTGATGGTAAAACGTCCGTAAACACCGTCTTCATAAATGAATCACTCTTTAGAATGTTCGTAATCTGTAGCGAGTTCATCTTCAGTTGTTGAAATCACACAGCACGTTCCGGTTCGCATCAATTTCGATAAGACTTTGAAATTCACCAAGTTTTTTATCGGTTGTACATGATCACCAAGGCATAGGTCTGGAGTGAGGTCAAACACAAACAGCATATAACCGTTTGTATATTCTTCACAAGTTATACCGTTGCCATGATTTTCAAACATTTTGTGTGTGCCACGTACAGGGTTTGGAACGCAGAAATGTAATTACTTTCGGCTCCAAATTTCAACTGTAGTGGCTTTCCAGGTAAGTTCTCTCCGTTGACAGTCAGACCCATGGTTGTAATATCGTAATTTTTTAAATTGAACGGTTCTTTGTATATGTACCGTTAAAGGCATCTGCGTTGACTATTCCAATCACAATACGATTTGATAAAGCACATTGAAATATATTAGGTTGATTTCCAGACATGTTTTCTCTGGGTACTTAAACAACTTTGCAGTCGACTCTGTTGATTGGGTATTTGGCAGTGACTTGTTGAAGGGACTGGGAATAAGTCATTATAACAATAGGTGCTACATTAACTCGTCGTACACGAAACAAGCATTCTTCGATGACTACTTTGAAATTGGGATTTTCTGCGGATGATACCAAACACAATCGATCTCTAGATCTCACCAGCTTGATCTTGATTGGAACAGCACAAAGAATATAACGGTCTTGCGCGAATAGATTAGAATGAATTCTTCCTTCCATAGCGACAGATTTACTTTCACGTGTAAATGCATGGCGTTGTTTTAATCCAGTGTTGGCATCTTGTGTGAGAGGGTTGACTACACCATCTTTCCAGCTTTATCTTTATCTTTATAGAATAGTGCTGAGATCAAATGTGAACTTTTCGCGTCTTTACTAAAGTTCAGGATCGTTTCGATATACGCTGGGTAAGGGTAAGGGTAAGGGTAAGGGTAAGGGTAAGGGTAAGGGTAAGGATAAGGATAAGGGTAAGGGTAAGGGTAAGGGTAAGCTGTGCTTAATGGGGTAACCAGTTTGTTGTTCAGAAATACTTCAACTTGTGAGAAAAATGCATGCATCCAAAGGTTTGAAGGTCCAACTTGAATGTCTGCACCCACATTTCCTCGGGCTGCGGTAGTAATCTTTGCTTTAACGTATAGGTAACTGCTTGCTAAGTCAGTATAAACTCCAGAATTTGCAGCACATAAAAATTC